TGAGAAATTGAGAAAAAAATCAAGTCGTATAAATTTACGTACGGCACGACATAATCAAGTACAAATGACCACTCCAATCCATCAAGTTGATGATTTGTGTATATTCAGGTAGTTAACAACACAGAGAAACTCAAGTTTGTGAATGACATGGCAAGTCAGCTGATTCTACCAGGGTGGGCAAGTTACGAGGCGCAATTGTCTATTGACTTAGGTAAGACAGAAACAATAAATAGGTCGAAGTGGTAATCTGCTTGCTATAAATTAAAACCGTGACCTTTATGTCATCATGTGTTTAGCCACCCCTCTAAAAGATTACCTCCGGAAAAACTATTGGACTTGACGTCTACCGTGGTCGTTATGTGGTCGCTCACTTTAAAACTATGACTATTAGTCGAGAACACAGATATAAGTGTACAGAGGGATGATTTAAAAAAAATGTGGTGGAGGGACATATTCAAGCCAAGCACTAAGGGTGGTTTGTGTGGTGTTGGCACTGCAATAGTCAGCCTGAAGTCTTGAAGTGTAGCTTGTAGGTAGGGAGAAGAGTGTAACTGCCTCCTCATCTGCTGCAACTCCTCCTTAATCTTCCTTCTCCTCCTGCACTGCTTCCGGGTGAAAAACCTCCAAATCTTTGAGCTTTGGCTAAGTACTTTTGTCGTATCTGATAGATTAAAGCGATCATCAATGGCTAGTCAGCCAATAAAATGACACCTTGTTCCTTCACAAGGAACGACGAACCGAGCAAACGACCAGGATAGCCACCTATGACATTGAGGCCCTACCCGAATTAGATTTACAAACGAAATGTCCTCACTATTACTTTCTAAATATTAGGACCTATAATGGTGATATCTGGGCTTCTGTTCTTCTAATTTCTTTGAGAAATGTATTTGGGGTGGGAGTGGAGCGGGTAATTTTGGTGAAAAATTTCATTTTTTACCCACTAATTAATAACTTTACTACAACATCACTATGAGGCTGCTAAAACCCGATACTAATTAAAATCTGGTATCGGATGAGAACGTGTACCCACCGATACTAAAACTTAGTAGAGGGACGACAATACTTAAGTGATATCTACAAATTGTGGCCCTGAAGAAAAATCGTCAGACCTGTTCTAGTGAGCCTATTACAGCACCAAACGTATTCTCCATCCGAAATTGACTTTACACTTGAGATACCGCATCGATTTGAAAATCGAGTGCTACAAAGTCTTGTACTAATACTCCTCTTCGCACGACAAACGTATTACTTTGATAATGCCTTAATAAACATTCAGAAATTGAAAGTTGCAGCCTGATGAATCCACACATGTCCGAGCCGATGGCGGCTTAAAACTATTTACACTCCGTTATGACTGTTACTTCTTTCGTCCACAAAACATCACCAGTTCAATATCATTACGCGCAACATTTCTCAGCTGGTATATGATAGTAACAATGTTAAGACATAATGAAGACTGATATACCTCTGTTCGTAATCTGGAACAATTCGAGTCGCCACTCATCGCTTCCGTTTGCGAGCCCGAAGGGTGAAGCTATTGTGGCTGTGCACAACGTGAATGGCGAACTTTTTAATCGTGATTATCTGAGTTTTAGTTAGTAAATAACGCCAGGTGTCGCCGAAAATGTCGTATCAAATGCGATCTACTCTGTCCTCACCTAACATGTGTGAAGGCATATTTAAGAACACTCTTAGGCTAGGTCACTATTGTGACGCAGGCTCCTATTGACTTAAAATCGATCAAAGGTGGACGAGGTCAGTCAGGCAAAAGCTCAACGCTCGTAAGCAAAGGCTGGTCTCAAGTTCAGAGTATAATGTACCGGTTAAATACAGACACTAACAGCAGCATACTCGTTCGTCGGTGACAGCTGTTGTATAGAGTTTTGTCTTCTAATCCAATTCTCCATACTGAATTATAATCATGGGCGAGCTCCAGATCTTGATCCCATTTAATACTTTAAGCCGTAAGCCAACAGAAAAGATTGAAGCGCTAAGCACATACGTACATTACCTACTGGGATAGCGCTTGCACATAGTTGTCCAATAGCTCCTGCATTACTCCCCGGCGTCCAGCATAATTACAGGAAAAATTACCTCAAGCTCACATTACATCGACGTCCGGCGCCGCGTAACTATTACATCCAGGCGAAAACTGTAGAGAGCCGCCTTGTCATTCGCGAAAACAAGTCTTTGAATGTGTTTGTTATATATACGACAATGCACAGATGATCAATTTGTTTTCTTTAAGTAACCCTTTGTACCCACTTTTGTGATGCCATTCGTACACTCAATGACCTAGTAAATTTAGCGTAGACTAAAGATGCATATCTAATTAAAGGAATCACTCGATCCCCGCTACCCTCTTGTTCCGTCGCCTGCAATTTTACTTCATTGTAATACAATTACATAAAATTGTACCCAATTGGACGCCACTCGTTTGCTGCTCCCCAAAACATTCATCAATTCGCCGAAATCAGTTTTACATTTAATCATCATTTTATCGTTTAATTTATCGCTTCTTGTTTGATGTTTAAAAATACAATTTCCAACGAAGAAGCTGTAAAATTTGTGTAAGCAGGTGGTAACTTAGTCGTGTGGAGGAATTCGAGCGCTAGCTATAACGGAAAATTAGCACATACACGAGTTGCTAACATGCCAACATGGCCAAAATGTTGCGCTTTATGACTAGCTAGCTACGAAAACGCGGTCGACCTCAAGGCTAAGGGTTAACGCCACTTTAGCATTCTCTACACAAAATTTCCCTCGTCACTAATGTGAAAAGAAGATTAATGTATGCATGTTAAACAACATAGCAGTTCACAATGGCAAGTTCTTGATTCAGGTAAGGCTGAAAATTTGAGTGGAAGACTATTGTGTGGTACCAAGAAGATCTCAGGATGCACAGACTCGTATCGGAGACTTTGCGAGAGAAAGGTGGTGAGCAATGCAGAATGTGAGACTTTGCATAATCTGATACTGAGACTAGGCCGGTATATATAGTAGAGGACTATATATACATGTCAGTGTTGCATTTGCACCGATACTAGTAAGCCATTCGAGTTTCTCACAATGTGTCTAGTGAAATGTTCTTTGATTCCTTAGCAAGTCCTTGATTCCACAGAAAAGACAAAATGCTCGACGACAGGATCAGCCGCGTAAGCGATAAGTAGCTTTTTCTGCATGACTTCCGAATAGCGCCGATGACAGTAGTGACTCGTTTGCTACCAGCGACTTGGTGTAAAAGACCGTTGGGTAGCGCGCTCAGCAACTTATGCAGTTAAATACACCCATCACATACAGAACTGCTCAAACGGTCAATCTACCCTAAATAAAGAAATTGCGGAAATGGTTAATGAAGCAGAAATAATTTAAGCGCGCTGCCAACGGCCAGAATAGACGAACCAACCATCTTTTCGGTTGAAGCAGCGTTGAATTTTAGAATCTGAACATGCGGAGCTGGTCGTTGAGCTAATTATCGTTTTTCGGTCTCGTCGCACATGTCGTTGCGCTGAACACAACTCACGATCCTGCTCCTCCGCGCCGCAAGACGATAGCTGAGTCACGGTCAAGACTACAGCAAGTGCTAAGGAACGTAAACCATTTACGGTAAGAAAAGACAACGCAGTCTCGGCTTGAGCGTAAAATCATCGATTTAATGGATGAAAACGGCGAACGCACGTGTCTTTTGGGCAGCAGAAAACGAGTGATATCCAATAGATACCATGTTGGGTAATCGTAGGACATTTACGTAAAACTGGAGGTGACGGAACAAGAAGGTGCAGGTGGGGTGATTCTTTATTTTAAATCTGTGGCATACATTCAATCCTTTAATAATGCATGACATGTTAATTTTATTTTCTCAAGCTGTGTTGTAATTTTCAGCTGCGCATTTATTGGTCCTTTTTTTATTATTAGCTCGTTCACTTGTTTGTTTTTGTGGTTTTTTACCCTTGACACTTCTTGTTGTTCTGGTCGCATCTTTAGTCGCGCAAGGCGGTTTATGTGCTACCGAATCTGATGAGTCATCGAATAGCAAAGCCATTTGGCTGGAGGCGCTTGACGTTCAGATAAGCACGTTTTGATTTTTAAAGTGGTTCCAAAGAAAGCTCCTGCCATGTCCAGAAAGGACTAGGAAAGAAATAAGCTCAGGGTCTCTCGATCAAAGATAATATGTGTATACATATCCATCAGTGAGCTACTCTCTGTACATAACAAGACTGGAGATTGTGTGATTGGTTAAAATGACTTGCCGGTTTCGGCGCTACCTGTTAAAAACAACTTTATGCATGTTACAATTCTTCGAACGTGTTGCATGGTAGAAGCAAGAAGAGTTGTACGTGATCAAGCCAAATTGTGACGCGCTCGGCCTCAACACACATGGCCAAATAGATTTTCATGTTGAATGGGTTCACGCTTTTCGATCGAAATGCTGGTCCATCCACTGCATTACAATAGTTACTAGCGATCCCATCATTTGTCACAATAAAACAACTTTAAACATCGTATCGACCTGATCCCCGCCTTAAGAGGTGTCAGCAGTGACAGCTATATTACGTGTTGTACTTTGCCACCAGTGAAGCGATATCACCGATGAGACACGATCGCGGCGCAGGGGCTTTATTTCAAAGTGACAAGGTGGCCACCAAAAATATTTCGAGCATCCTCACCGATCCCGACTGACCACACGTCGTCAGATCATCTTCCTTTTCTCTGCTGGGGTCTCATTTCTTGAGACTAAAATGAACGTTATACAAAATAGGTCAGACGCATGCGCCAACGGTCGAAACAGACATACATAAAATGAATTCATACTAAAATAAAGAAACAAAGATTGATATCACGAGATACGCTCCCAAGTGATCAAAATTAATGGACCACATTCTCAGGATCCAAATTCCAAAGCTGAACAATCACTTAATTTGGTATGTGAACAAACGAACCTCCTCGAAACACAAAACTACAGAGGGAGAAGGCAGTTAAAGCGACAGCACGTAGACATGGTGGGGAAAATCATGCCGCTCGACATTGGGCTGCGCGTCGGTGCGTGCTCCACTCTTTGTCTGTACCGACTTGCCGCTCTCCTCATTATCCTCTCACCTCCTCTCTGTTGCACTATGTCCCTTTCCTATTCTCGCAGATGTGCTGGACGACGAAGGCATCTGGAACACAGGCGTGATCGCTGACGTGGGCAAAGGGAAGACGCAGAATCTGGTGGAGATTCAGTACGACGGCTGGGACGAGGACTATAACCAGTGGATTGACGTGAGCAAGCATCGTCTGGCCCCTCTGCACACGTACACGATCGTCAAGAAGTGCTGGGCCAAGCTTGCCAAGTGGCCTTGGTGGCCCGCCTTTGTACGTTGCTATATGATGGTTTCTTTTCTTCGATAGCGGTAACGAGCGTATTTTGTCTTTTACGACTCTCTACTATAGGTGGTTTTACGGGCACCTACAACGGCTAGTGCTGCTCACGGTCTTGAGGAAGAGACGAAACTTTATGTCGAGTTTTTCGACTCGTTTGACGAGGAGAAACGCTCGCGATGCTGGATGCAAAAGAAGAATGTGACGTCATTTCGTGACTGTTTTGAGGAGCGCGCGTCTAAGAACATCAGCAAGAACTTTTCCAAGTTTGTTGAGGGTACGCAGCGTGCCAAGGCAGGCACGTCCCCGCTGCTGTTCTCGGGGGTGGGCACGCTGCCGATTGAGTACTCGAGCAAATTGTCGGAGCCGCTAGAGGAGAAAAAAAAGGAGTGTTCCCCGGAGCAGTGGTTTCATCTCTATCGAGACTTCAGCAATCGCTATAAGGAATTGTACGGCTACTCGACTGCAATGGTATCAGAGAAGCCAGCTTCTTCGCGCCCAGACCTGAAGTTGGGCAAGCGTGGACCTGGTCGTCCTTCAAAGAAAGATTTGGAGCAGAAGCCGTCAGAAGGTTTGTGAGTCCAATCGTTCGGTTGAGTAAAAGGAGAACAACGCTGGTAATCATGTTGTGCCGCCGCTTATCTATGGTATTTTAGATGAGAATAAAAGCGAAGAAAATGAAGAAGATGAGTCAGAGAGTGGTAAGCTCGGGAAAAACCGTGTTGACGACGATGAGGTGACAACTGGGCGACGGGTTACCCTTCGAAACAAGCGGGTTGCGGCTGAAGTAACCTCCGCGCGCAGTAACGCCAGACCCCGACGTGCTAAAGGTTAATTGACGTTCGAACCGTCGCCTGTACCTGCAGTTGTAGGATGGGTGGACGGGTGCGTATATCGTGCCTGTAGTAGTTTGCTGTCTTCCGTGCGTGCATAGTGTTGACTGTGTATGTGTGGTATGGCTCGTTTATTAATCAGTAATTGAGGTATTGACGGATTCAAGCTCTTCTATGGTTGCGTCTTCCTTCTCAACTCTCCCGTGTGACCAAAAAGTGAGAGCTGGGTTTACAAGCGAAGTCAGGGAGTACAGCAGCTCGATTCATACCGAACACAAAGCCACAACAAAAGTTGATTCGGAATCGAAGCCTGAAACTCGTCCTGCGCCTGAAGTATCGTGTTTCGGGTCTAAGCCAAGCGGAAATGTGTTGCCCTCGCAGAAGGCGCGCAGCAGGGATACCAGCATGCCATGCACGGTAGCAGGGCGTGCTGTATGCCTTAAGTTAAGGGACGAACGCGTGGATAAGTCTATCGGAGGTTGCTCTCTCATGCTGGAAGGCAGTCGTGGGCAAAAGGATTTGATTACCCCGCCGACCAAGCCGTCTACGCGTATTGAACCTGCCATGGGTTCAAGGGTTGGGACATCTGAGCAACCCGAACCTCGTCAAGCAGACCTCAACATGTATAAGGACTGGACTGGCGGGTCTCGATATGAAGTGGATAACAAGCCTTGGAACATTCTTGGATGGCTTACAGAAGGTTTTAAGCGAAAGCTGCAAAGGAAGTAAGCGATGATATTGTCAGGACGGGATTTGACTGAATTGATCAGGGAAACGGTTATGCAATGCCACTGCCTTCGTTTGTACTTCAAACCTACCCGACCTCCTTAATGAACAATTTTGCGGCGCAATCAGCTGCCGTTCAGCAGCAACAACCGCGAAATGATGGTAGTAATGTAAACGTGGTGGTAATTACTGGAACAACACGGGGAAACATAAGCCACATACACGGTCTGTAGAGTTTTATGGAGTAAGTAGCTTTAAACTACCCCCACATAAAGCCATACGACCACGATGCTCGAGCACCGATATTCACAGGACCACATGTTATCGCACACTCCCAGCAGATCAAAAAGTTTACCTTTCACTATAAGTAAGACTTTTCGTTAAACTTCGACTGATGCATTTTCAACAGACATTAACCGCTACCACACTCTTCGAGATACGACGACCTTAAAAAAACGATACAATACATCGCTAAAGCTGTACTACACCCTGATAATGTCCAAAAGGTTGCCGCTCTGTCACTTAAAAACTTTGCGAATGAACGTCAAATAAGACATTTTCATAAAGGACTGCTGGCTATCACACGGTGGTATGACGACGAGCTTATTGACACTTTGAAGGAAGAGAAAGGCTCGCAAGATGCGGTTGACAAACTATGAAATCACTCGCACGTATCGCTTGCTATTCATTTGATCACATTGGAATTCTGATGTATGCGTAAAGAGCTACGGAGCCAGGACACCAAGGTCTAGCTGTCATGGTGGTTGATACATGTCAGGCGACGATGTCCTGGTCGATGCTGAAGTCGCTGCAGTGGTGGGATGGCGTAAAGAACGCGCTGCACTATATATTTGTTAGGAAACTTCGTTCTCTTTTGGTTCAGTAGATCAACATTGCTTCAACAAATTGGCGGCTAGACCAATTTTCATGAATGGGAAGAATGGGAATCAGAGTTCTGGATCGGCGCTTTCCGCACCCAACCACGTCCACCCAAATTCTTTTGTCCAGTATATCACCGCATTTAAACTGTAAGATAGGGGAGCAAGCTCTGAGGCTCGCTCTTTGAGATAAGCAAATTAGTTTGGAGAAATGAAAAAAGTTGTAAAACATCATACGACAGCAGTGATTGAAGAAGGAGTATCATGCTGTAAATCTGTATTGACCCAGTACAGCATACAGTACTTGTGCAACGCGATCAGCCTTTACTTTTGATCATCTAGAATTTGCTTATGTGATCACATTCACCTTTGATCAGTTTGCAGCCAATCACGTGCGGGCACTACAATAGTGCCTAGCCAAAGAGTGCTTTTGAAAATATCGAAATACCTATGATGACCAGACAGGCTCTATCGCATTCAGTACGAGTTAGGTACACCTGACCGCGTAATTTACAGACAGACACACACGGCCTGGTAAATACGATTGAAAAGTGCAGCATTTACCTTGTGCGATCTAGCCTGTTAGTTCCACCCTTCGATCTCGCATTGACAAATTATGGTGCTAGATAATCTAACCTTGCAACGTCATGCCCACGTACCCACGCACACAGATAATCGGCGATCCATGCATTTAAAAGAAATGGCGTGGGTGGGCGTGGGTGTGTGCGTCTAATTTTGATTATTGCTGGAAAACGTCTTTTTTCGCAGTAGCTTTTTACTTTCACTATAAATTTTGCTTAACAAAACAGATAACTGACATGGCCAATCACAACTCATAAAAATGCAATTGCAACTACGCACTCCAGCCGATCATTCCACTTGTGTACTTGTACACAAGAGTTTCTGCTTTCTGTGCGTTTCATGTTAATTTTGCTCGAGCGTAACTACGGTTCTTTGATCTGAGTGCCAACTGCTATCTATGTATGGTATCGAAATTATTTTTACGGATCGATGTGTTAGAACGGTAGATGCTGCTGATGAGGATTTTCAACAGTATGACGTTCCATTGCCGCGAGAAATTAACTTCGACCCTGAACGTTGACCAGGCATGCTGCCGATTAACGCTGGTGTTCTGTTTGATAAAAATACCCAATGTTGGCGACTTCCTCCTCCTTTAAGGTATATCTTTAACACGTTCAAAGTAAGAAGGGTCTCGTGGTGTTGAAGTAATAATGCTTGTTCCACTTGGTCTTTCTATGGTTCGATCGACTTCCGGTTCATCGAGGACTTGTGGTGTTTGCTAGTATAAACGGGCAAGTAACTATTGAGACGTCCTATGTCGAATAATTACCACACAATTATAACAGTGATAATTGCGTCAGTTCGTCCACGACTACCTCTTTCTGGTGCTACGTCAAATTGCTAAAATGTCTTGTATATTTCGAAAAGGACTGGTAAAGCATCATTTGGGTGGGTCTGCAACAAATGGTGGTACTGAAGGAAATTTATGAAGGTTCTGATGAACATCGAAACCGTTTGATAACAATTTCTTTCCCTCTACGATCAGCTTCAATTTGGGCTCGCAAGGTATTTCCCAGATGGTAGTGAAAAAGGAAGTGCGTGGCTTCGCGTTGATTGCCATATGACGTCGAGCCTTTTCCAGCTGTCATCGCGAAGTTTGAGCGAATAAATTAAGTAGAAAGAAGAGAATGCTACAATCTCACCTGTCTAAATACTTACCGAAGGGCATAACAAACTACCATTCGGATAAAACTGTACAATACGTCACCATGCGGGGTCAGCAGCGTAAATAGTTGTATTGTCTTTTGCTGCTTCGCCAGTTCTGTGGTCAATTAGGTCTGGAAGCTTTTAAATAACTAATAATCCATTCGCAGCACCCAAACAGATATTTTACACTACTCGCAACGAACTCTTTCTTGAAAATTGTGGGCACCTTCTCACGTGAAATATTTGAATGAGCTCCGCGACAAATCGAATCAGTCCATGCTTAACCAAACTCTTCCTTGTGGAAATCGATCCACGTCTTGAATAAATACTCCACAGATTCTATGTGGCCATCAGTCCATCTATGTTTAAAAGCTGACCATTTTTCTGCGAACTATACGATCGTGTTCGAGTAAACTACATGTATAACAAGAAAAAAATAGAATATGAATGAATGTGAATGAACATGTTTAAATTTCGAAAACGAAAGAATTCTTACCGGTCTCAAATCCTTTGCGAACGCTTTCCACTCCTCAACATTCATCCTGGTAAAGATTACATTTGGCGACGGGGTTCTTCTCAATGCTTCAAATGCAAAGCTGGGTGGTTGCTGAACAATATTCAACCCGCGTAGCGTTCATGAGAGCCATCTTTCTATCGATAATGAAACTCTGAGCACATGATCAGCATGGAATGGGAGAACCGACGGAAATGTAGTAGTTGGTAACATAGAAGTCGTAATCCTCGTTCTTCGCAAAACGAAAGCCGTCGAGAAAGTCAAATATAGCATTTTATTTCGACAGCGTGGGACAAAGAAAATCTCGTCTTGCTGGTTCTGTACGTGTAATCTAGCATTTTAACGTTGCATCTCTTCCGTGAGAGTTCCACATTTTTTTGTCAGAAATAGCAAATGTTTTGCGCTTATCGGTGTTTTTCTATAAGTCATTAATATATCCAATGGAAGTGAAGGTTTGACACAACAAAACCGTTAGAGTCTAACATCGAGTATTGTAATAGCGTTTTCATTCATTAAGTTCCGATTACCGGATATGTTTAAGTATGATGGATAGAACCTGCCTGGCTTTTAAAACGGACTTAATTAGCTCGGCACTTTCTTTCTCTTGAGGGTCTAACACAAGAGAAAGAACGGGATGAGCTTTTGTAGAAGTAAAGTTTTCGTGGATGTGCTCGTTGAAATTGATTGTAAAGGACCAATTGTTGTCTGTATTGTAGGTTAAACGTGCAAATGTAAATGCTTTAAATTCCTCAAAAAATTTAGTCAACTACTGTGCGTAGCTTTACCTTTTGCTTTTCGTCCAGCATCTCTGAAAGAGGAGTCAGTAAGTGCCCTACTTTTCGCCTTCCGAAACTCTGGCTCTTTGACAATTTCGTGGCGGCTTTGACATATGCCTATATGATCGCATTAGTAGTGTAAAATATGTCGACCACCTTGTTGCTCGTATGGGGGCTTGGTGACGGCTCTATGGCCATATGCCACGGCTTTATTCACAAATGCTCTCATATAACCTTTCGCGTGGTAATTGGCTCAAATTCCTACTGCGCCATGTCCCTGTCTGCTGTGAGTGACGAAATGTACAAATATGGGATAATTTAAGTGGATCGGAATCAGGTGTCGGTTTATTAAAGTATCTTTTAGGGTGGCGAATCGTAAAAAAATAATGCTAAATATATTTTTAAATTTTTTTAACTACTTACTCTGTGATTGGCTGGGTCAATTGCCTGTGGCCGTAGTAGTTTTTTTCTGCGGCCGTAATATTGCCGTGGTTGGCAATAGTGTTGATGTGTGTGTACGCAAATGGAAATGTCTGTGTCCATAGTAGCATTGTCTGTGGCCATAACGGCTCTCCTACTTATACCGCTCATTACAAAAGTAGAGGGAAAGGCTAAACGAAGGGGCCACAAGAAGCATTTTGCTGCGAGATCGAAGGATGGAACTAACAGGCTAGATCGCACAAGGTAAATGCTGCACTTTTCAATCGTATTTACCAGGCCGTGTGTGTCTGTCTGTAAATTACGCGGTCAGGTGTACCTAACTCGTACTAAATGCGATAGAGCCTGTCTGGTCATCATAGTATTTCGATATTTTCAAAAGCACTCTTTGGCTAGGCACTATTGTAGTGCCCGCACGTGATTGGCTGCAAACTGATCAAAGGTGAATGTGATCACATAAGCAAATTCTAGACGATCATAAGTAAAGTCTGTTTGTAACGGGGTAGCCCGTTACATGAAATTGACACCAAACGGTGTAAATTGGAATATTGTCTAGTACGACAATATTCTACCGATTTTATCCGAGATGGATAATTTTGAAGGAAAATTATCTCCTTTTGGATAAAATTCATTCGCTGCTCCGAGATTGGATGACATAAGAATATCAAC